GATGTTAATGATTTACTATTTTTGGTTTACTGATTTTTGTATTGTTCACGGGCGATTATCGATCTGGCAATTTGCAAGCGGTCCGGCGTGTTATAGAAAAAGTGCAACTATGCGCATTGGTATGAAATTTGATGAGTGATGATCAAATGACCATCAAAATCATGAAGCGCTTGGCAAGGAGCGCCTTCATTTTGTGTGATACTTCACGCTTTGTCACGGAGTTAAATTAGTTGCCTGTCCGATCTGAACCCAACTAAGGCCACTGACTCCATTATACACGCTCTCCTAAGTGTGCTTATTTCACTTCTAAGTTCAATTTGTTCAGAAAAAATTGACCCTAAAAAATTGACAAGAAATTATACTCTTGATTCAATCAGATTCTGGCTTAAATCAAAAGGAAATCCGCTCAAATTAAGAGGCTTGGTTCTTAATTTAAGCAAAAATCCGATTGAATCAAGAGTATATTTTCTTGTCGATGTTTTTAAGAGTCTGGACTCTAGATCCAACGTGTTTTTTTTTTCCTGTGTGAATTAAGAGGCTTGGTTCTTGATTTAAGCTAGATTCTGATTGAATCAAGAGTACTTTTTCTTGTCGATGTTTTTAAGGGTCTAGACTATAGATCCAATGTGTTTTTTTCTCCAGTGATTTTGACTCCATGACGTGAGTCAATTTTGCAATATTCAAAGTGTCATAGTGTTTGCATGATAGGTATGTTTGTGCGAAAAATCACTCGGAAATACTCGATTGACACGGACTTTCATTCTTACATTGAGTCGCGAGCGTATCTCATGAATTTCTGGTCGTCAAGGTTACCCTCAAAAACAGGAATATGCAAATCGAAAATTCGCGCGACTCTGACTTGATACACCAAATATGAGCGAAAAACAATTTTACTGAACATGTCGTCAATTGTTAGTTTGCACGCGAGGCGCACATCAAACCGAAAAATTATGTCTCTTTGAACATGATCCGGTCAAAACCCTCTAGGACCGTGCTAATTCTAAAATATTCTGATTCTTGGAGATAATGGTTAATTTGTTAAATGAGAAGCCTTCCGTCTTTCCTCTTATATTTTTTTGCAGAATCTCCCTTTCTATTCTTTTCTAATATCCATGCTATGTTGAAAAGTTACGCCTAGGAACTTCAAGATGGAACACTGGAAAAAAACACATTGGATCTACAGTCCAGACTCTTGAAAACATTGAAAAGAAAGAACACTCTTCGATTCAATCGGATATAAGCTTAAATCAAAAGGAAATCCGCTCAAATTAAGAGGCTGGGTTCTTTATTTAAGCTTAAATCCGATTGAATCAAGAGTATTTTTTCTTGTCGATGTTTTTATGAGTCTGGACTCTAGTCTAGATCCGATGTGTTTTTTTTTAGTGTGCATTGTATGATCTAAAATATTTTGGCGCGTATACGTAGTATACCGCCTTTGCGATCGTTTCGACCCCCCCCCTCGATACAATAACCGAGTCCCCTAGTTCCTTACCGAAAAGTGACTACCGCGAACTTCTGAGATTTTCCAAAGCGTGTAAAAAGTTTACTAATCCGTCAATAATAATGATTAAAATTTGTTTCTCATTCTGGGGCTCGCTAGTTTATGTGTAATGAATACCAAGAGTCTACGTTTCTTGGTTTTTTTTAAAAAAACCTTAGAATGGGGCGCGCTGATTTAAAATATGCATATATAAGCGGAAGCAAGCGAACTGATTCGAGGATGGCTGACCAGTTCGGCACTCCTTGAATGAGAATTTCACTCACTCCGTTTTGTTCACAACGTTGCTTTGACATATCTCCACAACACTGTTATCCTTTTCAAAAGTTGGTACTCCTTGCTCTGATAGCCGGGGCCACCAGGATAGTGGTAAGTGCAATCTGTGATGAGCCTCGAGACTCATTAGACCATTTGCTAAACGTGGCTCATACAGGAGTCCACTAAGCCCTCTCGTCCCCACGCTCCTGATCACTGCGTCGGCGTCACGAAGAACAATGGGCCTTGGGTCCCAACGCGGCCGATACCCGTACCCCAATTACTCACGCTTCATTAACCATTTCACCGTCACGCTAGGATTCATCCAATTTTCAAAAAAAATTGTTTCGCATGTATTTAGCAATTTTTTCCTTACTCTCCGTTAAAACACAAATAAAAAGAGACCTCATTCATAAAAATCGGCCGAATAGAAGAGAAGTTACAGTAATCGAAATCCGAAGAAATCAACAAAACCTCGACTCCTCGATACGAAAAATAAAATGAAGGGGAAAAAAAGAAAGTATAAATTACAATTAAATATAATTGACCTCAAAATTTGACAAACAATTCATTTATATACCTAACGCTGAAAAAACTGGGAGAAATTACAAAAAATTTGCCTCTTGCAAGGGGCTTCTTTGTAAGAATTTTGACCTGAAGACAACGGTCGAATAACAGCAGTACTCCATACAATACACGGTGTGCCTGAACGAGTTAAACATTTTTCATACGTCCAAATCGAAAAATCTTTATATTTTTAACTACAATGTTTCTTGAATCGTTTAAGCAAAAAAAAAAAAAAAAAAAATTCCGTCGAGATTCTGGAACGCAAAGGCGCTTTAAAAGTATTCTGGGGCTATAATAGCTAAATCACCGGTAGTAAATTCGTTATATTATTAAAAAGAAATTGACTCCATAGTTTAATTCCTTAGTTTCTTGAATACGATTATTTTAAGCACTTAAACATTTATACCACCAATTTTAGCCATGGGGTGATTTCCTGAGAGCCGATAATATCACGAATTTCTCATAGAACCCCTCAACAGTGGCTTGCTTTTTTGGCAGCCGATTCGGCCATCGAACCGGAGTTTAAATGGAAGCTGATAATAACCCAAAGCTCTGAGAAAAATTTTGAGATGAGTATAAGAACGGTTTGTTGTAAGTAGCGAGGAGAGGCGGGCAAAGCGGCTAAAATCCTATCTAATTTTTACAGTTTTTCTGTTGAATTAATGTTGCCGCGGGCTTCTGACTGTCCACACATAGTTCTGTTCAGCATATCGATACATAAGTATTTACATTTTACATACGTAGAATCTAATTTTCACGTCGGGGAGTTGACATATTTTGATTTTTTCGATTTTATACGGAAAATTGATGGTTTTTCGGGATTGAAATTATTATTGTTTCATGAAAAATAAATGCACCCAAAATGACTATAGCATATTGATTCTTACACATTTGCACTCACAAAATTGGTTGGTAAATTCAACGAGTGGGTGCATCGACCTGGTATATCAAGTTTCTGCAATTTTTTACGGCAAATCAGTAGATTTTCGGGATGTAGATTGCTTACTTTCAATTCATGAATGAATAAAGCAACGACATGGTTGAACTTCTTTGCATGGAAAGACGTTTAAAATAACAAAATCAAGACGTATTTAATGCAATTGCATTTATATCGAGTCAATTTCTTTTCAATAATATAACGGGATTTTTACTACCGGTGATTTGGGTATTTTAGCCCCAAAATACCTTTAAATCGACTTTATCTTCTAGGAGTTCGACAGAATTTTTCCTTTCTTCGCTTAAATTATTCCGTAGCACTTTTCTTCAAGAATCTGATAAGATTTTGCTTGAGGCAGATCAAAAAACTTAAATTCGATCGAATAGCTTTCTACTTTCACAATACACGGTCTCGTCAAGGTGCGTCTTTGACCTCGCAGTGTTGGATCGTGAATTCTCTTTTTATGCTGTTTGCCTATTTTGAAATCTCTGTAAATGAAAACTAAAGGGGTTGATATGTGCGAGTTAATGACGCGCCTTATCAACACATTGTGTTGGAGTTCACTGCTTTTTTTAGTCTTAAATCGCACTTACTATACGTCAAAAAAGGTTAATTTTTGAGATTAAAAATTTAACTCTCCTGTTCTTTAGCCTCTTGCCAACCCCTTTCTCCGCTAAAACTCGTAGGAGGGCAGACACGTGGATGAGACGGAAGACGTCATAGCAGGGCATACCACTTACGATAACGAACCGTGAAACTAAATTTAACCGATCGATGTTAAGTAGAGGAGTGCAAAAGCTCTTGATGAGCTAGCTTCATTACCTTTCCATGAACTCAAAAGATATGACCTATCTCGAGTTTCCGTTATCTTTTTGGAAAAAGTACACGCACCAACTTGTTGAGATAATTTTTTTAAAAGCCCGACTCCAAGACCGTGGTCTAGACAAGTTTGCTGGCATGCATTTGCAATATATACATTAGGAATTAATTTTTAAGTTTGTATCTATACATGACTACACGTGTATCAACTCGCGTGACTTACCATGAATTTCGTAACCAGAGAGGGAAGGTGTATGCTATACACCATTAAAATAATTGATTAATGTCTTTATGCCACACGCGACATCGGCTATGGCTAGTGGGGAACCCACAGACTTTTCACTAAAGAGAGGGAGGGCCTGAGGTTTAATTTCTAACGCAAGAAATTCGCAGGTAAAGAAAAGAAGAGGAAGAAAAAATCTCTTTACAGTTGTAGAAAAAAATCACTCAAGTCTCTCCGAAGTTTGGGCTCGTCATTATATGGTATGGTTTTTCTCATTTTTAATTGCTCAATTTTTATAAATCGAAATTGGTATGCTTGTACATAATTTAATTTAACGTTTGCAAAATTATGTTTGATAAATATTCCGGTGCGTCACGCATTAGCACTTATACCATGGACTTTGTAGGGTTTAGTTCTAACTTTGAATGTGGAACGAGAGTCTAAAATAGGTAAACAATCAGGGAGCATACATGCATCAAAATCTCAAAGCTTATTAAGACGGATTTCATTGGAAATTATGGGATAGCACATTATGAAGATTTCATAGGCGTTGTAAGAAAAGTGTTGCTTTCGTGCGATTTTATGGCACAGTAAACATTACGATAAGTGAAAGAATTAAAAGGTTTGAAAATGAGAACAAGAAGAAAATCATATGGAAAAAGAATGAAAATTGAAAATGATATAGGCAAATGGGGGCATACCTCTTTTTCATCCACCAAGGTCGCAACTCTGCCAGGCTGTAAACAAACGAAAATCAACTTTAATATGCTGAAATCTCCTTTTGGAGCAATTTTTCCAACAATATTCAAATTCTCTAGTAGTAAACACCTGGCCCTTACGTCTTTGAGACGTCATAACCATCGTCAGGACGCCGACCAAGTCTTCTGCTTACATTTACTTAATTGATTAATTTCCTTTCTTTAAAATTAGAGGTTTGTAAATAAATTGAGCGTTGTGCATGAGCTATATTTCCGATGTTGACCCAGGGTAAAACGTTCTTCCACATGCTTTGCAGAGACGGCTTATGCACTGATGAGGAAAAATGAAGTATCTACAATGAGACTCGAAATTTTTATGGAAAATCTATTACTTTTACATTATTTTATTTTTTTATTTTCATTATTGTTCCATGAAAACGTAGTCTGAATTTGAACATGCAGCAGAGCTGCCATCATTGATTCCGAGCCAACATTTTTTTAAAAAGATGGTACGACGTCAGCTTCGTAGGATCTGAAACTTCCGTGCAAATATGGAAATGGCACAACTGATAGACTCGCCCTCATTATCATGTTGATGAAGAAAAGTAAAAGCCTCTCATAAATACTACACTTCTGCGAACGGTAGGTTTCACACTTGGAAGAAATCCAGAAGACATGGTTCGATTTCGTCAATGCCTTTGTTAAGGCGCAACAACGAGTATGTATACTATTAGAGAAATGATTAATAAACATAAAGGCAATATTGTAACGCTACACCAAGACGACAGCACAGATTTGCCTCAATGTGCGATGCTTTGATTACTAAAGTTATGAACGAAGGTCAAGTTCTTTGACCGTGTGTTTGTCAGATGGAGCTTTTAAATCACCAGCTTTTGCTTTCGAGCTTGTAGACTAGCAACCTCAAAATCGTTATTCTTTTCTCTCTCCTGGAGACAAGTCCAATATTATACCTAATTGAAATAATAATTTCTCTCTCTCTCTCTCTCTCTCTCTCTCCTACCCCTGAAAAATACCGACCAAAGTTGGGGCCTCGAACACATGATCAGTTGAAGACCTGGGGATACAAATATGCTCTCATTCTAGAGCATAACCATCAATTCAAACGAATCGAACATGTTGCGTTTCCCCAAATTAGAATGACAGTATTTTTCAATCACCTTCGCGCACCTAGATTTTGTGGCAAAAGTAGTAATTTTGGCGGGTGAAATCTCCTTTTAGCAATGACTTAAATATGTTGCGGGTGCTTGAACGCCCTATCACAAAAAACACAATATTTTACGAAAATTTTGAAAGTTACAACGAGGTTAGGGATTCTCCGTCTGCTGTTATCTATAAACTCGATTTATATAGTACACTCAATATCCATGCTTCGTAGAACTTGAATGTGGCAATATTTTAACTCAATCTGACAACACCGCTTTGAATCACCGTATCGGTGACTGAAGCGCCTTCGTCGATCACTCTGTAGGAGTTTGAGCATTTTAATCAGCAGTCCCGATGTTGCAAAACGGATGGCTGAAATACGACTTCCCTCTATTGAAATTCAGAGGAGTCGTGGTTCGAACGCTTGGTAAATCCATTTAGCAACTGTGAGTGATCTTCGGGGATTAGATGTGGGAATGCAAGGCTTTTGCAGATGAGGCGACCATACCAGAGTAACCTTCTAGGTCATTCAGTGAATGAAAGGTTGAAACTTTGAAAGGTGTTGCAAGTTGTTGGTTTCTGAGAGGTTCGAGTGAATTGGAGGAACTCTGTCAAGTTTTTCAATGATTCAGCCACTTGCTTTTTTTTTCCATTTCAATTTAGGCAAGTGTACCCCTACAAAAACGGGAGATTAAGTGATCTGACCGAACATTTTACTCTATAATATCACTGAAATAAAACTCCGGCCGTGGAGGCCGTACTTACGGGCTATATAGACATACCGTCCGCGTTCCGGGCTCAGAAACTGAAAGTAACGGGCATAGCACCCGGAGCAATCGAAGCTACGGCTCCAGCACCCTGAACTTTCGGCCTTTCAACCCGGAACGGACGGTATGTTTATATAGCCCGTAACTATTTTTTTCAGTGATAGAATTGCAAGAGTAACGCATAAAGCGTAACGCTTAACGCCTACGGCGCGAAGTGGCCAGAGTGAACTTTTACGTTTAAAAGACAGGTTAAATCGCAAATCTCGTCATGCGGGAAAAGCTGAGCTAAGACCCTGTTCCTATTCAAAAATGTACATATGATTCCTTCCACCGCCCCTCAGTGGATTTCAGTTTATTCTTACGTGCGCTCCTGTTTAATTTTCTTTTCAGGAGTGTTTTAGTACTTCCTTCTCTTCGAAATGTGTTCCAAAAGAATGTGTAAGAACAAGAGACGGAACAATTGAGCCTTCGGTACAAGATGAATGTATACAACTATGTGGAAAAACATTCTAAGAAGGCAACTTTTAGAAAAGTAGGGCTCTAAAAAATCACTCTCTGCTAAATTAAAGTGTTTCACTTGTGAAGACAACGCAAGTTTGGATTAGTCAGAAACACCATAACCAATCATGTCAGTGAAAAATGTTAAGAGAGTAGTTAGAGAAAGATTCATCACAGAAAAAAATCACAACCTACCTGACTGCTTCAGGGTAAAGAGGGATGATAAAACCTGAGGACTAATTTGGGTGAGAGGATAAGAAAATAATTAGTCATGGAATCGATAACATGGATGACTCTAATTTTGAGTGAATAGTTTACGTCATATTGCCCATTATTCTCACCATGTCAGTAAAAGTGCAGCATTGAACAGAGTCTCGCTGCATTCAGCGTTTGCATTACGTAAAAACGAAAAATTAAAAAGGAAAGGCAGAGTCAAAGTTCGGAAAGTAATTTGCAGACCATCACTTATGTATGGTGTTGAATAATCTCCGGTGAAATTATGCATTGACATTTCCGCCATTTACGATTGGAAAGTTTTGAAAGAGATAGTAATTTATTCCACTTAAATGTAAAATATGGCAAACATCAACTCCCAGCATCTGCATTTGCATCTTTCCAAATTTCAAAGTCATTTACAAAATTGCAGGACCATATCATATTATTAGACTTCCAAGAAATCTTTAAAAGCAATACCTACGTAGTACGGTGGGAAATACTGCCGTGCTAGGAAAAAAAGCCGTACGAACCTTCAGGCGTTGCCATATTTCTTTAGGTAAATCACGAATTTTTTGGAAAATTTGTAGATATTTTTCCTCCAATTTTTCAGATAATTTTGTTCACAATTTCATCTAAAGTCACTGAAAATTTCAAGGAAAAATATTCTTAACTTTCTTCAAACATAACTCTTTTCAGAAAGGAAATTTTACGACTCTCGAATGTTCATACGGCGTTCTGCCTAGCACGGCAGAATAGCTGCATTCACTCAAATGCGAACACGACTTTCATTGATCCAAAAGGTCGATTATATCGATTCAATTATACATTTATTTTTTCTTATCTAAGATCAACATCCTTTCGCGGAAAATCACCTCATTGCAAATGAACTAATTCGATAATTTTTAATCTTTGCATTGTAGAAGATCAGAGATTACACTTATAGATAGGAATGTCTCCGAATTTTCTTGGACGATCCGAAAAACAAGTTCAAAGTTGTGGAATAATTTAAGCTCCTATTTCGACGTATGTTGAGAAAACCAAGATGGAGTTCGAAAATATACTTCTCGTTGGGATCATGATCTTGCAACGTGAGATCGCAGGATCGTGGCCACGACGAAATTGATATTTTCAAACGCCATTTTAGCCCTCATGGCAATGAGGTTGAAAATAAGACTTAAATACGTAAGTTTGAACTCGTTATTTCTGGGTTACTATCTTCCAAAAACAAAAAAGAAAAAAAAAATGAGAAAAAGAAAAAAGGGTAAAATTTTACTAAAAACCAATTTTACGTAAGTGCTTTCGCTCCGACCTATCAAAAAGGCTAACATTCCAATTTGCTAAATGAGCTCATTATAAAAAGGCGAAAAAGGAAAACTGATTCGCGGTAGTATCGTCCATTTTCCTTGTCTCAAAAGGCTATAAAATAGATGAAATCAGACCAAATATCAGACGAAAGTCTTTCGAGCATAGCGTCGGATCGTGTAAATTTTCATGTTGAGCTTTTTGCCCGTTCGACAACACCGCTAACTACAGTCGCGCTCACGGCGGCGATAATAAATAGGAAGTAAGGAGTTGAGAGGAAAAATTGATCCGCGATAAATGAAAAGAAGAAAAAGATCACAACTAGGTCAATAATTTTGCTTGAGGCTAATTTGCGAGAGTACGATCAATTGATTTATCGATCATCAGATTGCCTCCGCGATGCCGTGCAGATGCACACAAGTTTTACGTCACTTAATACAAAAGCGCGGACGTAACCACGCGGTGACTTAACTGCGGTGATCACCCGATGATCTGCCGTGATAGGGAAGAGAGTAGTAAGTGCAATTTTGTATGAGCCATGGTTAGCACATGCTTTTATGTGTCTCGCGGCTCATCCCAGCATGCACTTACTGCTCTCTTCGCGAAGAGAGCAGTAAGTGCATTTTTGTATGAGCCATGGTTAGCACATGCTTTTATGTGTCTCGAGGCTCATCCCAGCATGCACTTACTGCTCTCTTCGCGAAGAGAGCAGTAAGTGCATTTTTGTATGAGCCATGATTAGCACATGCTGTTATGTGTCTCGAGGCTCATCCCAGCATGCACTTACTGCTCTCTTTGCTATCTCGGCGGTGGTGTGAGTGGTCTCGTTGTCTGGCACGGTCGGCAGTTTCTTGCTGCGCTTCTGTAGTCTATCTCTACATTTAAACTTCGGAACTTATTGGCAGACGATTTCAAGAGAGCAAAATAAATCCATAAAAATTAAGAAGGAAAATATAAAGAAAACAATGGAAAGGCAAATGGCAAATCCAAAAAAGAATTTTCACGTAGGAGCTACTGAAGGGCTGCGTCCTAGAGTGGCATCACCAAGATTTCAGATTTTGGGTAGGTATCAGTTCTGCCTTCGGAAGGCTA